TTGAACTTTAACAGCCACATCAAGTCAATAACATCTGCAGCCTTTTACCATCTAAAAAACATAGCAAAAATCAAAGGTTTACTGTCTAAATCAGACTTGGAGAAACTTATCCATGCGTTTGTCTCCAGTAGGTTAGATACTGTAATGTTCTGCTCACTGGTCTCTCCAAACGAGCTGTGAGACGCTGCAGAACATCCAGAACGCTGCAGCTCGGGTCCTTACTCGAACTAGGAAGTACGAGCACATAAGTCCTGTGCTCAGGTCTCTGCACTGGCTCCTGTGCCTCAGAGACTTTAAAGCAGCTCTACTTGTGTACAAGTCTCTCCATGGCCGAGCACCAAAGTCCATCTGTGACATGTTAGTGTCATAATGAACATCTCACACTCTGAGGAGCTCAGGGACCGGCCTCCTGCTGGTGCCCAGAGTCACGACTAAACAAGGGGAGTCAGCGTTTCAGGTTCATGCAGCTAAAACCTGGAACAGTCTGAACATGTGAGACAGACTCTTCTGTGACGCTGTTTAAATCCAGGCTCCAAACATTTCTGTTTAACTGTGCATATAACTGAAAGGTTTTCATTCCGCACTCTTCTCTCCAATTTATGTCTCTCTTTTTTAATTTTAATCTTCATGATTATTTATGTTTTGATTAGTTTTTATTATGATTTTAATGTATTTCTTATTCTGTAAAGCACTTTGAATTACTTTGTGTACGAATTGTGCTGTACAAATAAACTTGCCCTGCCAACCATGACGTCACTGCGAAGTATCAATAGGGACTGAAGAATTTATTAGAGGATTATAAAGTAGGTCTAAACCAGGATCAACATGGTCTAAACCAGGTCGAGACTCTTCACAGGGGAGGCCCGAGTTTCCCTGAGAAAGTCTGAGCTCTCAGGCTGATCTGGGCACAGTCACCAGTCTGGGATGGGAATGTTTGTAGCAGCAGAAAAAAATCCTTGGGAATCCAGTGGGAGAGAGATACTGTCCAAATAATTACTCAAGTAACTGTAAGGACCACTGAGTAGCCTAACTGTTTGACGTAACATCTGATTTATTATAAAGGTTTAACGTAAAGGAAAAGATAAAATAGAAGTTCTATGTTACACAAAATGGAATGGTTATAATTAGGGGTGTGCAAAAATATTGAAATATCGATATATCGTATCGTTTAATGTAATGATACAGTATCGATATCGTGGGCTGCTGTATCAAGTATTTTTGGTGTATTTTACTAAATTATTTTGTTACAGCCCTACAGTTTTGTTGTTTGTTTAGTGGAAGGAAACTCATTCACACAGCAAAAAGGTGAGTTAAAATGAAAATTAAGAACATCTGACTTTATCTGAGTCGACTCTACCAATGGAATAAGTGTTTTTCTAAATTCAAGTGACATTCAATTTCATTTCTTATTTTAAGGGTTGTTGTTTTTCTTTTTTTAAGTGTAGCAAGTTGTATTTTCATATTTTAAGAACACAAAATCGTATTCGGCTGACAGATCATTTAACTTGTCAAGTGGAATTTACTCAAATCATGATAAAACTTTCTTAATTCAAGTCATCTTAACTTGGCGAGATTTTATTTTTTGCAGTGCATGTGACACATTTGACATTTTCACAGTTTTGAGGATTAAAATGTTTTTGTTTCATATGAACTTTACACAAGACGTGGTTTAACAAAGACTTTTAGTATCACAGACATAATTGAACCTTTATTTTTATTGAACGGTATCGAATCAATTTGAAATATATCGTATCGAATTGTTAGTTCACTGTATCGAAATATGTATCGTATCGTGGCCTATGTATCGAGGTATGTATCGTATCGGCAACTTCTTAATGATACCCAGCCCTAGATATAATATTGTTTTCTCATCAAAAACAGACCTGGAGTTGTGTTTTGTTTCATTCACACATGTTTGAGTAACTCTTTATTATCAGTCTGTCTACGTCTCCAAAGCTTAAAATGCTCTGTTCCACTTTGTGATGTCATGAAGTGGTAGTTTTCAAGTGAACAGCTCCTTTTAACTATAGTTCAGTAAAGATTGGCAATTGAAAATGAAACTGAAAGTATCCAAATGATTCTAGTGTAGGTGTACGGGGTTTCAAAACACAGTGAAGCACCCCATGACATCACAAAGTGGAACAGAGTGTTTTCTGTTGAACATGTGTGAATGAAACAAAACACTCCAGGTCTGTTTGTGATGAGGAAACAATATCAGAACATAGATCAGAAAATACCAGAATATGGTCCTCTAAATAACGTCCTTTTCATAACATCAATAACAGCGTCATTTCCAAACTATGCATAATAAAAATGATCAAATCTAAAACATATCTGAAGGCGTGGTGAAGGAAACGCAAATGTTCAAATCATGCTCCACCAAAGCCAAGTAAGAGTACTGTTACTTTGTACTGTGTTAGAAAGCTGCACACAAATTTCTTCAAAAAGTTTCTAAAGTAAATTAAGTGAATATAACTTGGAAATGTGAATGTATAGCATAGCAAGTAAAGATAAAAATGTTAAAACTGGCAAACAACATAATCGTAGTAAATAAAAAGAGTAAATATTCTTTCATTTTTTAGACTGACCTGAGGTGTATACCATATATGCAGTGTTGGGAAGGTGACTTTGAAAATGTATTCCCCTACAGATTACAGATTACATACCCCAACATGTAGTTTGTAACGTAATCTATGAAATTACTTAAAGTGAGTAACGTAATCTGAATACTTTGGATTACTTGATATTGTCATGCTTTTTAAAACTACATGAATGTAACAACCACATCCTGAAAATTCTTGTTTGTTCTCTTCAGATTGGCCCTGGCTTAGACCTGGTTTAAACCTGGTTTAGTTCTGGTTTAGTCCTGGTTTAAACTTGGTTTAATCCTGGTTTAGACTTGGTTTAGATCTGGTTTAGTCCTGGTTTAGTCCTGGTTTAGTTTTTAGTCCTGGTTTAAGTCCTAGTTTTAGATCTGGTTTAGACTTGATTTAGACTTGGTTTAGACTTGGTTTAGACCCGGTATAGTCCTAGTTTAGTCCTGGTTTAGATCTGGTTTAGACCTGTCTTAGTCCTGGTTTTAGTCCTGGTTTATCCCAAAATGTGAAAACAGGAAAATACCGCCATGTAATCCATTTATTTCAACAAAGTAACTGTAATCCAATTACCACTAATTGAAACAGTAACTGTAACTGCATACAGTTACTCATAATTTGTACTCTGATTATGTACTCCGGTACATGTAATCTGTTACTCCCCAACACTGCATATATGCACCTAAATATTTTGTATTTTCAGAACTAAGAGGAAGAGCAGCCAAGCATTCAGTGTTAAATGTCGCCATCTGCTGGAGACAATGTACACTTCAACAGTATGAGAATACCAGATGTAAGTTTTAGTATCAAGAAGTATATAATTTATGATATTTCTCGCAAATATACAGTTATAAATTGGGAAAACTTAATGATCTTGATCTTGCTCCACCCCATTATTAAATGTGTTAACACAGTTGAATTTAAATACTGGAGCATGGAGCAGAGGAGACTGTAAAATCCCATTCAGAAAGACTTCATTTAGACAGTCGGCCTTTTCAGGTCTCGCTGCACACTCATGGAATCTGGTCCCCACAGACATAAGGAACATGATCTCTATCACTAGTGGCTTCTGGACAATCAGACATAACTACATCAACATAACTAATCAAATGTCTGTGTGTTTTAATATAGTTCATATTCAATGATCTTAGCGTCTTTTGTCATGTGTGATGGACTGAATGTTATTGTGTCTATGTTATGATTTTTGTCTCACCATCAACCTGCCAATGGGACTACGGATGAAAATGATCCTACATGGTAACTCTGGCACAGTTACATGATGTACTAACACTGTTGGGCACGTTACTTCAAAACTGTAATGCGTTATTTATGACTTGTTACTGTCATTTCAAAGTAATTCATTACATTACAATGTTACTGCATTTAAAATGTAAGGCATTACACTACTATTGCATTACTTTAAGTTACTCTCACCAGAATAACTGTGAAGATGCTGAACTTCTGCGCCGTATATGGACTGAACCAGGACTAAACCAGGACTGAACCGAGGACTGAACCAGGACTAAACCAGGACTGAACCGAGGACTGAACCAGGACTAAACCAGACTGAACCAAAATTGAACCAGGACTAATCTTGGACTAGAACTTGGAATCTAGGAGCACCCCTGAGAGAACCCCGAGTCCGTGGAACAGGATGTCTTTATTGTCTCTTTGTCTCAGGATGTCTCTTCGTATGAAGAAAAAAACAAAAAACCCACCACTTCAATCCAAATTAAAAAAGCACTGTAACGCCTTAATTTGTACCGAGTCAAATATTACAATTTTTTTTTCCCTGTAATGCCTTACATTACTGCGTTACAGCAAAAAGCAATGGATTACAGCAATTTGTTACTTTTATAATGTGTTACTCCCAACACTATGTACCAACACATGCTGATCAATGTGGACTGTCCCATATTTAATAAATAAACATAAACATAATCCTAATGGAGTCACTGCTCAGACCAAAAAAAAAAAAAAAGATTTAACTGGAACTACAACAGGTGAGCTGTTTTGTGCTGTTAACAAGTTCCTTTGTCACTCTCACCTTTTTGTTGAAAATCAAAATCTCCTAAACAGAATGAGCGCTCGTACTGAACACAGGCTCCTGAAAATAAATAGTTTTAATCCATTTTCTGTTTTCTTAAGTTGACTTAATGTGTGCATTGTGTCACCATGGTAACTACAGAAACATCCGACCTTAGAAACAGGTCTGCATGTAGAACACCCCCAGCGTAATGTGACTGCAAAGTTAGAATGTTGTGACGTCATCTGAAGCCCTGATTTGCAGCTTCCGGTCATATGCGACATTTTGAGGACTTTTCACATTCAAAACATACAGGTTTTAAATAGTTAATCGCTATGGCAACGGTCTTAATCTCTCATGGTAATTCTGAAACCCCTCACCTGTGTCTGTGAGAAGCGCGTGGTCTCGTCAAAGCGGTTGTGTCCGCGGGCGATGATGAGTCTGCCCAGGCGAGGGGGTCTGACCAGGGAGTAGCTGATCTCGTTTCCGTCCTCATTGGTCCTTGCCCCCAGGTTGGCGCTGGAGATGGGCTGACGTGTTCCTGTGGACAAACAAAACACAGAATAACACAAAGGAATCATGGGAGAATAATGCTCCCTACAACTGTTCAACTTACCCTTATGTAACAGATAATACTCCCTACAACTGTACAACAACTCACACTTATGTAACAGATAATACTCCCTACAACTGTACAACTCACACTTATGTAACAGATAATACTCCCTACAACTGTACAACAACTCACACTTATGTAACAGATAATACTCCCTACAACTGTACAACTCACACTTATGTAATAGATAATACTCCCTACAACTGTACAACAACTCACCCTTATGTAACAGATAATACTCCCTACAACTGTACAACAACTCACCCTTATGTCACAGATAATACTCCCTACAACTTTACCACAACTCACCCTTATGTAACAGGTAATACTCCCTACAAATATACAACAACTCACTGTTTGTGGGTCAATGATGTATAAGGATTTTCAAAAGGCAAATTTTAAAATACAAAAAATATTTACAATGTCAGGGATGCATAAATCTATGTTTAACATTTATATTAAGCATTTTAAGTGTTTTTTTTTTTTTTTTTTTTTTTATGTACATGAATTGGCTCTAAAATGTCATGTGGTGTGATCGAAAATAGAAAAAAGAAAGAAGAAAAGAAAGAAAATAAATTTGATTAGATTTAGAGTAATTTTAAAGAAGTTTAGAATTCATTATAAAAATTTATATTTTACTCTTTGTTTTTATATTATATTATTTAGCCTTAATAAAGCATGAACAAAGACTTAATTAATAATGAACAAAGACTTAATTAATAATGATTCACGCTTAGTAAATGCTTAATAAAGGGTAATTAGTCTTCACTTTAGAAAAGCTCTCAGAAAGACTGAACTAACAGATAACAGCTGCCTGAATTATCATTGTATTGTATTATTAGTAAATCATTCTCTCATAGTTTACTAATGATTAATAAATGCTCAAATGTTTAGTCCATGAGTAATTAAGTATGAAATAATTCTGAGTAACTATTTACAGCACAGGCAAATTAAGTGCAAGTACTAATTAAGGTAGTAATTAAGTAGTTACTAAGCGTGAAATATTATTAATTAAGTCTTTGTTCATTATTAATTAAGCCTTTGTTCATGCTTTATTAAAGCTAAATAAGGTGTAGTTATTATAAAGTGTTACCTATTATATTGTGATGTATGAGCTACTGTGTTTTTAAACTCCATACACCTTCAATAAAATCATTTAGATCATTTTATCCCTAGAATTGCCAATTTGTACTAAAGAAGACACAGCTGTTCACTTGAAAATTACCACTTCGTGACATCACAAGGTGGATTACAGCATTTTGAACTTTGGAGATGCAGACAGCGTTAAACACAGTGTTGGGGAGTAACAGATTACATGTACCGGAGTTACGTAATCAGAGTACAAATTGTGAGTAACTGTATTCAGTTACAGTTACTGTTTCAGTGAGTGGTAATTGGATTACAGTTACTTTGTTGAAATAAACGGATTACACAGAGGCATTTTCCTGTTTTCACATTTTGGGCTGTATCATCCTTTTTTTTTGGTAATTCCACTCATTGCTGGACACTAAACCAGGTCTAAACCAGGACTAAACCCTGGTCCAAACCAGGTGTAAACCTGGTCTAAAACAGATCTAAAACCAGGTCTGAACCAGGTCTAAACCCAGGTCCAAACCAGGTCTAAACCAGGTCTAAACCAAGTCTAAAACCAGGTCTTTAACCAGGTCTGAACCAGGTCTAAACCCAGGTCCAAACTAGGACTAAACCAGGACTAAAACCAGGACTAAAACCAGGTCCAAACCAGGTCTAAACCAAGACTAAACCAGGTCTGAACCAGGTCTAAATCCAGGTCCAAACCAGGTCTAAACCAGGTCTAAAACCAGGTCTAAACTAGCTCTAAACTAGGACTAAACCAGGACTAAAGCCAGGTCCAAACCAGGTCTAAACCAGGACTAAAACCAGGTCCAAACCAGGTCCAAACCAGGTCCAAACCAGGTCTAAACCAAGACTAAACCAAGACTAAACCAGGACTAATACCAGGTCTAATCTATGTCTGAAACAGGATTTAACAGGACTAAATCCTGCTGTGTGGACGTGTTTCCTCGTCTTCTATCAATAATAGTTTTAATTTGGTTCAGTAAAGTCTGGACTTTTTATTTTCTTTTAACAGACAAAACTTCTTATGTGAAGATATCCTAGTCTTTGCTTCTCTACAGCAAATCAAGTAATCCAAAGTATTCAGATTACGTTACTCACTTTAAGTAAATTAATGGATTCCGTTACAAACTACATTTTGGGGTCTGTAATTTGTAATCTGTAGGGGATTACATTTTAAAATGAACCTTCCCAACACTGGTTAAACATGTGTGAATGAAACAAAACACAACTCCAGGTCTGTTTTCGAAGGAGGTAACAACATTCTAACGTGGCTTAAACCTCTCAAGAGTCCATTTAGCGTAATATAGGACCCGATTCTGTTTCTGTAATAAAAGGTGATGAAAATAAATAATTCAGCGTTGTTCTTACCAGGAAACACCATGAGCTCCTCCTGTGTTACCATGGTGATGGTGAGGGGTCGGGCGGTGACCACAAACTGGTACAGAGGAGACGTGTGCTCTCCGTCTGTCACCGTGAAGCCGAATCCTCCAGACTCCTCTCCTGAGCAAGGGAACGAGGGATGAAGAGAGAGGGATGGATTTAAGGAGACATCTACACACACGTTTTATACACAAGAATTTGGATTATTAAAGGTGCATTGTGTAACTTTTCAAGGGGAGGGTACGTCAAACGGAAACGGTTTTCTCCCTTTTCTCCATGGAGATGTTATTGCTTTGTCTGGAATGTTTCGCAGTATGGCATTAAACCTTTCTATCTTCATGGAGGCCAAACAAAACCGAGTTACAGGTCAGATCTGTGGAGAGGCGACCCCACTCAGTCAGAATGTCTGTTTTTCTACATATTTTTGAGCTATAAAACCACCTGTAATTGAATAAATGTAAGATAGAGCTGTTTAATGTCATACTGTGGAATATTCCAGGCAGAGCAATGATGTAACCATAGAAACAAGCAGGTGACAGAACCACAACTAGAAAAGTTACACAATGCACCTTTAACATGATTTAGATTAGTGAATGAATGAATTATAAAGTACATTTCAAAGAGTTAGAATTGTGGTAATGGTTTACAAGGGCAAAAAAAAGAAACAAAAACATGAATTTTCTGAATATATTTTTGGCAGAAAGCTAAATTTTCAAAATTTCGAACATTAAAAATTGATTAAAAGCAATCGTTTACGCATTAAATAAACATAAAACAGTTAGAATTTTTATAATTTCATAATAGTTAGTCAGCGATGCCCCTTTAGTGCATTTTTACTATGTACTTTTCTTGAATGCTTGTTTCTATGGTGAGGTTTCTGCTTTATCTGGAATGTTCCACAGTATGGCATTAGTTGAAGGTCAGCTCAGTGGAGAGGCGAGTCAGCTCACAGTAAGTATATGTATTCTAAGCAATAAATGGTAAAGTGATTGGGTAAATGTCAAATAAACCCATTTAATGCCACACTCTGTAACGCTCAAGGCAAAGCAGTGTCATCGCCATGGAGACCAGAAAAGTTTCATAGTGCACCTTTACAGACATTTTAATTAGAGACACATGACTACAACTTTACATTGGCAGAGAATAACTTCAACTTTGCGCCGGTTTTTGTCGGTGGTGGAAGAAGAACTCAATTCTGTTACTTAAGTAAAAGTACAGATAACAGAGCAAATAAATACTCAAGTAAAAGTAAAAGTATCACACAAAAAAATATGCATTTGGCAAAAGTTTTACCCTTTTTAAAATGTACTTAAAGAGTAAAAAGTAAAAGTATTTTACACAGATTTTCAGATATAATAAAGCTTCAAATGTGTATTTTTTTTTTGTTTTTTGTATATTTTTGTTGCTTTAACTCAGAATGTGTTAAAAATAAACCCTTAGCGTTTCCAGTAGGTCTCAGAATATAATAAAAAATACTTTTACTTTTCAGTTCAGTTAAAAAATGTAGTGGAGTAGAAAGTACAGATACCTGCTCTAAGATGTAGTGAAGTAAAAGTAAAAAGTGTCCATTTTAAAATCAACTTAAGTAAATTACAGATACCTTCATGTATTCTTAAGTACTTTACTACTACTACCGAGTATTTACAGAGATATGAACCATAAACCAGGCCAAGTCTACAAAGTTGTGATGTCACGTGAGTCCAGCCTGTCCTCGTACTCGCGCCCACACTCACCCTCGTGGATGAAGATGACCTCTCCGTTGTTGATCTGGGCCTGGGTGAAGTTCATGATCTCGTCGTCCGGAGCTTCCTTTAAGGCCACCATGCCGCTTGTGGGCGACTCCACGTGGTAGACCAGCTGAGCCGCGGGCGTGTCTGCGTCCTGGGTCTGCAGCATGGCCGACGTGATGTCCGCCTCCTCTCCGGCCAGAAC